GGAGCAGCCCATCCGTCCCGCACGCCTGACCCTCCCCCGAGCGTCGCAGGTGTGGAGAAGGCCCCGCGGCAGGAGTCGCGGCCTCCGCCTCCTCCCCGGCTGGTGCACACGGCTCCCTCTGCCTGCCCGGCGGGGACCCCTCTGCCTGCCCCAGCCAATGGGATGCGTCCTGGTCTGTCTGCTCGCTTGGCAGGTGTTTGTGAACACCGTCTCCGTAGGGTTCCTGGACTACAAGAGGAAGGAAGTCACTATCCCCTTGATCCAGGTGTGCCCTGGGGCTGGGGGCGGGTGCTTGCCAGCTGCGCTCTGGGCAGGTGTGGGGGCGTCAGGCAGGGAGGCTCAGACACAGAGCTGCTGATGGGGAGGTGAGCGTGGCTTTCTGACCGGCGGGAACCCTCCCTCCCGTCCTCAGAGCTTAGGGAGAACTGGGGCTCCAGAGAGAAACCCCGAGGGGCAGTTGTACCCGTGCGGCTGGGAGTCAGGCTTTCCTCAGTGACAGCTGCGTTCCTGGCAGGGGTTCATTTTGCTAAGGATCTTGGTGGAGAATTGCGGGCGAGTCAACTATGGGGATAACATCGACGACCAGCGCAAAGGTGAGTCACGACACATGGCTGGCTGTTCCTTCTCCATGGCAGCACACGGAGGCTGAGCTGTAGGTGGAGTCACGGGGGCCACTGGGGGGAGGGGGCTCACGGGGGCCAGTTGGGGGAGTTGGCATAAGACATTTGCCTTCTTGGTTCTTCACGCTGAATTTCTTTTCTCACTCTCTCTGGAGCCCCGTCGATAGTCCATTTTGTGTGGGAAGGAGGACACATGAACAGAATGCTCCTTATGCTCCTCCAGGAACATCCCACCGGTTCATTTTATTTTTCCTGGCCTTCTAAACCGTCTCTGTTTACATCTGCCTTTTTTTTCCCTTCCGTATCAAAACATGGGTGGTTTCATGTAAGTTATGAAGTCAGAACTCAGACAATAAGTCAGACTGTGGCAGGAAGTCTGGTGGCCTCCAGCGCTCACAGGTGTTGGTCTTTGTGACCAGGGAACCTGCAGAGCCCTTCCTCACCGCAGGGAGGAGATGTGGCCCAGCCCCGGGGGCTCTTGGGCCCTGGGGACCAGCCCGTCCAGAGGGCCTCAGCGCTGCCAGGCTGCCCAGGAATCCCTGTGTTCCTCTCTGGGTCTCGGCATCTCCTCTGGGCGCTCCCTTTGCAGGCCCACCTTCACTTCTCTTGTTCTTCTGGGGTGGGAGGCACTATAGCCTGGCCCTGGTCCCCATCTTCGCCTCCCTGGGCCCCCGACCAAGGTGTGCCCTGGCCTCTCACTGTGGAGTCCTGTCCTCGTTTGTAAGTCGCAGTCCTGCCTGCCGGAACTGTGTGCCCCTCCACACCTGTCCTGGCACTTAAGAGAGTCTGGGACCCCACCAAGCTGACCTGGAAGCAAGGCTGGAGCCGCTGTGAGCTCTTGGTCACCTGCCCCTTTGGCCTCATTTCATGGGGTTGGGATTCTCAGCCCCTGGAAGGGAGCGTCCCCCTCAGAGGGGCTCTGGCCAATGTTGCCCTCAGGCGCTGCCCCCTGCACATCCTGGGGTCACTCACCACTTCGGGGTTGCTGGGGGAGGCTTTGCGTCGCGTGGCGAATGCCCTCAGGGAGCTGGCCCTTCAGAGGGAATCCTCGCCAGGAGACTTTCCAGAAATGTTTCTCGCAGGTGCCTGGGTGGTCAGCTGTCCCCTGCCATTGGCCTTGCTCAGTGTCCCCGCCTCCTCCCCACAGGTTTAATTGGGGACCTCTATCTGAACGATTCTCCCCTGAGAGGTTTCAAAATCTACAGCCTGGAGATGAAGAAGGGCTTCTTCAAGAGGTCGGTCCCCACTCCGCACAGCCTGGGAGCTGCCCTGGCCTCAGCCCCAAGGCCCTGGAAACTTCCAGAGCTCAGAGCGGCTCCGCACCCTCCCAATGGCCGGGGCAGTGCCAGAGCTGGGGCGGGTGTGCCCGTGGTACCCCCGTGCCCAGTGCTGTGCCCCAGTCAGCAGATGGGGGCTGGGGGGCCTTGGGAGCCTAACCCTAACCCTCTTGTCCTCCATCCTGTCCATAGTTTCCTTGGAGACAAGTGGAACCCCGTCCCCGATGTGCCCACGTTCCCTGCTTTCTTCCTGGGTGTCCTGTCCGTCCCCCTCTCCCCCTATGACACCTTCATGAAGCTGGAGGTTTGTAGCCCCGCCCTGCCCAGGCTCTGTGGGCTTCCCTCCCAGAGGCCCCACACTGCCTGTACCCAGAGGGTCTCCAGCTTGGCCTCCCTGGTGTGGGAGGGGTGGGCTCAGAGCAGAAGGACCACCTGGTGGATTCTCAGGCCCAGGCTCCTATGTCCAGTCTGAGCCTATGCGCCCTGCCCAGGGGGTTCAGCACTCACGGAACGGGAGCTAGAACCCGCCTGTTAACCACATGGCTGTGGGAACACCGTCCCTGGGAGCTGAGAGAAGAGCAAATGGCCTTTGTCTGTGTCTCTGCCTCCTGTGTGTGTGTTCGGTGGTCCTCGTGGTCGACTGACACCGTCGCTACTCTGCTTAAAGGGCTGGGAGAAAGGGGTTGTATTCGTCAATGGGCAAAACCTCGGACGCTACTGGAACGTCGGGCCCCAGGAGACCCTCTACCTCCCTGGTGTCTGGTTGGCCGAAGGCATCAACCAGGTGGGGGCACTTTTCCCAGGGACCGGTTGTCAGCAACCCCCTCCCTGCACAGTTTCCCTGGGGGCACTCGGCGGGCAGGAGGGGACAGAAGCCCCTTCTGAGTGGATCCCTGCTCCTTCCAGCTGGTCCCCAGCCCTTCCCGAGGGCCCTGGTCTGGCTCCAAGACCTACCAGCTGTCTCTCCCCCAGGTCATCGTCTTCGAGGAGAAGATGGCGGGTCCAATGATACAGTTCACAGAAACGCCCCACCTGGGCCGGCGCCAGTACGTCGACTGAGCAGCTCCTGGCAAGGAACCTGCAGACCCTCCCTGCTGCCCCGCCGGTGCTGCCCCGCCCACTGTCTGTCCAGAGTCCCGAGTGCCCCTCAGTCATAGCCTCGAGGGCCAGGGCTCGCTCTGCTTCTGCTGCAGTTCAGACCCTTGCCCTGCAGACTGAAGGAGAGTGGGGGTGAGGAGGGACCCGTCTTCCCTGGAGTGCTTCTTGGCTGGGCTCTGTGCTGGCTCCTTCCGACTCCCCTTGATGGGCAGGCACAACTCCTGCAGGGTTTGCTGCTCTGAATGTCCCCCGGACCAGCCACGACCCTGTCCCTGGGGCCCCTGTTTCTGAGCTGGTGGGCGTGGCACTATTTGTAGAGGACGAGGGGCCCTGGAGTCGACCTGTTCCTCCTTCACAACCCTGCCCGAGCCTTCCCTGCGAGTCACAAGGAAGTCCCTGGGATGGATGCAGGCCACCTTTCACTTCTGCTCTAATGGTGCTGACAGAGTCAGGAAAATGGGCACTTGTTTTCTGAGTGCGAGGAGCTCCAGTTTCACTGTGAGAAGCAGTAACAGCTGAGGAGGAAAGGTCGCCACTCTCAGAAGGTCCAGGAAGACGGGGGCACCAGGCGTGGCCGTGGGGGCGTGGGCAGGAGTGTTGGGGTGTCAGGGGCCAGCGCTGGGCCCCAGGTGTTGGTCAAGATTCCCAGGGCTTGGCGGGGATCTGGCACTGTGTTCCGGCCCAGCTTCGCTGCCCTGAGTTGCAGTAAAGTAACAGAGTTGAATCAGATCCCCCTTGGTGATGTTCTGTGATCCCTTCTGTGTGCTGGGAGCCAGAAGTGAGGGTGGTGTGGGGCTGGGCTGGGGAGTGGGGACGCAGACTCTGCTGGCTCTGTGTGGTGGGCAGGGTGTGGCTGCCAGCAGCAGAGCTGCATGTGAGCCACGGTGGGGAATTTGTTTCCCAAACCACGTCTGGAGTCTCCTGCACAAACTTACGATCTTCGATAGGAGTCCAGGTGGAAGAGAAAGGCCTCCTAGGGGTGGGGATGGGCAGGGAAGAGCAGGTGTGAGGCTCCCAGCACCCCAGCATTGGCATCGCGTGCTTAGCTAAGGAGGGGTCTGCCCTGGGGCAATTGTGTGCAGCCGCTGGGCCCTGGAGCTGAGCCGTCCTATCCAGACTCACCAGCTCTCCCAGAACTGCTGGAATGGGAATCATGGCAATGAGACAGAGACTGGACTCCGTGGGCAGGACCAGTGCCGGGGAGTGTGGCAGGGCGCTGTGTGTAAAGGACTCCTGCAGGGACCCCCTCTGTAAGATTTATCCCCAGTTACTCTGCCACACACACCAGCTTGCACACGCATGGCTCTTTGCTGGGCAAGGACCTCCTGGGCCAGCCTGCTGTCCTCGACCTTACCTGTCAGATGACCCCAGCTTCTTTGTCCAAGCCCCTCGGCAGGGAGCACCCTCCAGGCTTCGTTCCGGGTTTGCTGCCAACGAGTGGCCTCACTCCCATCTCCTTTGAAGACTCGTCAGCCCACCCTCTAAGTGCTGGAGGTCTCAGCCCCTCCCCGGCCCCCTCTTCCCTCGGTCTACACTCGTGCCGGAGGCCTCACCCTTGGGGCTGGTAACCAGCCTTCACCCCAGTTCTCTCCAACGTGGGCCGTGGTCTGAGCTCCGGGCACGCCAGCCGTCCCCAGCTGCAGCCCTGGTCAGCACACGCAGCCGCTAGGCTGGGTCTCAGGTCACTCTTGGCTCTTCATACCCATGTCTAGTCCATCAGCAAAGCCTCTGAATGCGTCCAGAGTCCGACCGCTGCCCTCTCCTCTGTTCTGTCCCCTCATCCAACTCCACCGTCCCGGGCCTGGGTCATCAGTGGAAGCAAGTGACTCTTCCAAAAGGCTGGTTAGGCTGAGTCCATCTCTGCTCCAAACCCTCCGACAGCCCCTCTCTTACAGGGCTGGTGCGTGCGGTGCCCCTGCTCCAGGGTCTGGCCACCCCCTCCTCTCCCAGGCGGCCGCCCCACAGCGGCCTGTTTGCTGAACTCTCCCACCGGCAGGAGGTCCTCCTTCTTGGGCTGCTATGACGCTGGGCCCC